TAGAAAAACAGGTTACAAAGAAGTCTTTAAATCTAGTCCAAATTTTAAATCTTTGCTAACCTTGTGCAACAAAACAAAATTACTAACAAACAGCAATTTCGAAGTAAACCGAATAGGATGGAAGTGTAAACAAAAATACATCAGTGAAACAAAAATAAAAATAGCAACAAGAATAAAACAACACCAAAAAAATATATTTAAAAAAAAATGGGAACAATCTGCAATTGGGCATCATAAAAACAAATGTCCATGCAATATAAAATGGGAGTAAGTATAAACATTGAAAATATAACTTAAAATTTTTGAAAGAAAAGCTCAAGAATCAATTGAAATTTAGTTTAACAAATGCGGACCTAAGAATGGAGAAGATGATGGTCAATATGTAAAAATGCAATTCTGGATATATCAAAAATGTATTTGACACAACCCTTGTATTTAACCCAAACTTGTGTTGCTAGCAGTTGTGTCAAAACATAAACTTCTTATAATATCACCAACATTCCCGTCATTGATATATCATACTACAGCGCCTCCCCTTGCTTCTCTGGTCCTGGAAGTAATTTTTGGAATGCCAATTAATTGTTCTCTTTCAACACCGGATACAATAATAAGCAATCTATTAATTTTCTGTTTCCCAGAAATGTCAGGCAACTAGGTGGTGAACTAGGAGTAAATTTACTGCTCAGGTCTGTTGTAAACGCCTCTGAAGAGCTGTAGCTCTGTCATGGCATAGAGCATCAGCTGTAGCAGCCAACAAACGAGGAGCTTCTCTGTCTGTTACTTTAGTTTAATCCAAAGCTGTCGCCAAATGTTTTGTAGTAAGCCTAATTTTGGTTTGAATGACAATGGCTTTTTCAATCTCTTACAAGCAACTGGCTCTTACTCATTTGCAGCATCATTTTTATCTATCTCAGTAATACTGTTCAACAACAATGGAACCTTTCAATATCTTTTTTTTGATTCCACTTTTTGCGAAATAATTTTATCTACTCCTGCCATGTTAATTTTTTTGCCCTGTTTTTGAGCAATCAAGGCCCAACCTCTAAGATCTTGATCGGTGCTTCTGCGCTCTGGTGAGCGATATCAAAAACCTGGTCCATTCAAAAAATATCTCTTTTTTTATTTGAGTAACAGTTTAATTTTGCATGCCATCTTAATTGCTCAAAGACAGGAAAATAAAAAAAAGGAAAAAAATTTTTTTTAATTTTTTCCTTTTTTTTAAAACTTTTTTGGGAAATAAAAGCTCTTTATCAATAAATGGACATCAGTGACTTTTTTGTTGTTATCCCACTGAAACGTCTATGGAAGTTATTAATTTGTAGGTCATTATACTTGGCAGTACATATTGGTAAAACTGTATTGGTAAAACTGATGGATACATATTATGCAGATCAAGAGCAGTTTCTTTTAGATTATTTTTTCTACAAAACAATATTTTCAATATTGCCATTTCAGTTGTTCCAAAAGAGAAGTATTGTTGTGACATTGCTGGTTTTTCCACTGAGGTATTCATATATATATATATATATATATATATATATATATTATATATATATATATATATATATATATATATATATATATATATATATATATACAGGGTGTAAACTAGCCCTGTGGCGCCCCGTCAAACGCGGTATTCCCAAATGCTCATAAAATTAAAATTGCCAATTTAAAGGTAAAAAAATCCCATACTCGAAATAAATTTTGCCAAATTAAAGTTTAATAATAGTTCTGAAAATTATTGAAAATTAAATATTATTAAAAACTAATAGAAAAAAAAAAAATCCTAATTTAATAGTTGCGTAAAACTTGAAATAAAATAGCCATTATTGGTATATTTACGCGATTGAGCTCCGAAAATGTCTCTTCGACAAAACTTCTTGAGAATTGGGATTTTCCAAGCGATTTTAGAGATTTTCCCTGTAATATGCTTGTGAAATTAATTTCTCATATTTTGCAAAAATTTTTTGCAATGCATTCCAACATCAGTAAATATTATATAAAAAAGTCAGCAAGAAAAAAAGCACTAATCTAAAAAAATTTAAAACAATAAATTTGTTTGGTTTAGAACCCACAAATGCTATTTCTTTAAAAGTTTTTGGCTGAAAAGTTAAATAACTTGTTAAGTCTTACCGCAAACTCAACTTCAAGTAGTACATGTGCTTCGTCAACAAAAATATTGACAAGCCTTTTATGTCAGATACTTTCGAAATTTTGATCAATTACTGATATTACGGAAAGAAGTTGTCCATAAATTACGTAAAAAAACTTTTTAAAATATAAGTCGCAGATTTTAAGCTCTTTTACGCTGCGATTTTCATTAAACTGAATCGGCTATTATGATTTTTTATTTAAATTAAGACCCTACGCAGGAAAACATTTTTTTGTTTTATTTATTGTGAAATTTTTCATTATTTAGTTAATGGACAATTCCTAAGTCTTTTAGTTATAGTTTTTCATTTTTTTGTTTGGTATTTTATATCAACTGAATTATGTGATCACATCAATTATCTTCACTTATCTACTAATTAATTCACTAATTAATTCAATAACATTTTTAAAAAACCATCTCTGAAGTGTAAGTTACCTCAAAAAATGTTTAATGATTAAAAAAAAGTGGAACTACAATTTTATTGAACAAGCAAAATAGATTTCTTTACTAAACAGTTTGCTTGTATTTATCACGCAAATACGTATATTAAAACGTAAATTAAATACGTTTAATAACAAGAAAGTTTTTTTTTATTACAACAAGCTGGTACTAGAAATTTAAATAGCAGAAAATAAGATTCACCGCTTGCTTGAATTTGAAATGTTACATTTTAAATAAACATAGTCATAACATTTCATAACTAAGAATGAAAAAATAACTATTGGTATTCCTCATTACCACGTAATCGCTTGCGATCAATATTCTTCTATAATAAAACGACATTTGTTGTTGTTTTTGCTGAGACTGTAATTATAACTTTATTTCTTTATGCGATTTATGAATATAGAAAATTATTATTTATTAAGTATTAAATATACTCTTAAATATAAAATTTACGAGCTAGTTTTTACTATTTTTAAAACCTTATCTTTTAAAAAATATTTCTTTTGATGACACAGTTTATTACATGATGATATAAGGGTTCGTCGAAAAAGAGCGTCAAACAGAATTTAAATAAAAATTAAAAGTAGAAGATCATTGGCTTTCTTTCGCTTTTATTTCTTGAAATAAAAGCGGCAAAGATATATTAAGATTAAAAATAAATTAATTATATTATTCTTAATAATTATTATTTAATATACACTCATTATTTTATAATAGAAAAATATAAAGTTCCTAATATATATTTGGAAATCGGACCTTAATTTGCTGTGCCATTATAAAACCATGTTTAATTTTGTGTTGATTTTATTTTCATCTTCAATGTTACAAGACGGTATTTTATTTTATTTTTGGCGTTGTTTAATAAATGTATGCAGCGCTGAAGTAAAGTAGAAATAAAAAAGAATATAGGAAAAAAAACCCACGCATTCCCGGAACACATTTTAATCTCAGTGGAGAGGAGGGGGGGGGGCGGCGGCAGGATTTTGAAAAATTCCCAATTTCGTTAAAACGCTGTTTAAAGTTTATTCCTGGTTAACACCCTGATATATATATATATAAATATATATATATATATATATATATATATATATATATATATACATATACATATACATATATATATATATATATATATATATATATATATATATATATATATATATATATATATATATATATATATATATATATATATATATATAGATATATATATGTATATATATATACATATACATATACATATATATATATATATATATATATATATATATATATATATATATATATACATATATATATATATATATATATATATATATATATATATATATATATACACACATACATATATATATATATATATATATATATATATATATATATATATATATACACATATACATATATATAGACACACACACTTTAGCTGAAATAAATTTTACTTGCAATAACTTGCAAATTTTTAGTCAAAATTTTTTCTAAAAAAAATATTCTTTGAAAATTTAATAAACTAATAATGGCATGGACAGTCATAAAATTTTAGAAATTTAAGAGTCATTAATGGATCCATAACTTATTGTCTTATAATGCATCAAAATGTTTACAAAATTCTACCGTAAGTACAATTCAATCGAGTGTCCAAACACTTACAAATTTTTATATTACTTTTGAATATTATGAAACTAATAGTGATCCCTGAGACACCAGCTAAATCAACAGAAAGTTGAATTTAATTATAAGTAAAGTTATTGCAAGAATCATCTTGCATTCTTTTGCTTTGACACAACTACAACTAATAAAGAAAGTCATAATAGGGCAAACACTGTTATACAAAAATCAAGTCTTTTTTTAACCCTACTAATATTACATTGGAATCTGTGCAAACACAGTGATTGAAATCTTTGATACTTGAAATCCGTGCAAACACAGTGTTTGATGCATTATTTTTTATCAAAAGGACTTTTTTTGTAAAACTCATCATGTTAGATGGAAAGCTAAAAGTACACTGAAAAAGAATTGTTAGTTTTTGGCATCAGTTAAATGCTACCAAGAAGGAAATTTGAATTTTAGGAAAAAGATTTCTCTTCACAACTGCAATATATAAATGTTTTTTTGGTTTTGAATGTTGAATTTGTTTTGATATTGGATACATGTTTTGGATCAAAACAATGTATCCAATATTACAGATTTTTTTCACATGTATTATATTTGAATTAACTGAAATAAACTTTATCTTAATATATTTTTTGTAAAAAAAAAAATTAAATTTATTTCAAGAGAGCCTGTGACCTATTGTGATAATAATTTAGGTCAAGGAAATGTTTTTTTCTATTATACTAGAATATTCTTTGTATTAAACAATACTTTATTGTTATTACTTAACATAAAAAACTTACTTTACCTTTTCACTATAAGAATAAACTTTGCCAAGTTTTGAAAATGCATTAACCTCTTGAACCTAGACATAAAAATAACTTTAAAAAATCTTAAAAAATATATAAGAGCATATATTCTTTTAAAAAAACTTACCATTTGGAAGCAATTTGTCTTATAAACTGTGTTTATATTTGACTTTTTAAAAATATCAAACTCAACCTTGGAAGATAACTCTAGAACTTCATGAGATGAACTAGAACAATAAAAATAATAGGACAAATGTGTAAAAATGGTTTTAGCAAATTAAATGTTGTAAAAATAAGATTAATGTGCAATAGTTTGCTCCTGTGTTTATAAATTTAAAAAATGTAAAGGTAAAAACTTCATAATGTTTTAAACCTTAATTAAACTATATCCATAAGAAAAACAAGTTTATGATCAAAATTAGAGATGTCACGAATATTTGGTGACTATAGGGTATTCAGCCTATTTGGCTACTTTTTTTACAATTTAATATTCGGCCCAATATTGCAAACTAAAAAGCTGAATAGTTTTTAACAAAAAAAAATGGTTTACATATAACTTTTTTTTAATTTTTAATTTAAAAAAATGATTGGCATATTTGATACTTCAAAAAGATGGTTGGTTATGATAAAAACATTCTCATCATTTAATGATAGCAAATGATTGTGAATTTCTCATAAATTATACATACTTTTAAAAATAGGCATTCTCTATGCATACTGCCACCAACAAATAATAAGAAAATTTCGGCAAGTTTCGGAAAAAAACTAGATGAATACGAGTTTTTGGAGCACTTAGGAACAGTCACAATAAAAGGATGAGACCTAATTGAATGATGAGTAACACAGGAATGAATTTTAGTAGATAGCACAAGAGATGCTAGCTCTTTAGAGCAGTACCCATTATAGTATTTGTAGAAATAAGAAAGCGATCCAACATTACCACAATGTGATAATGGTTGGAGGTTAGCTGCATAAGCAGGTCCAACTATGTCTACAATGCGTTTTTGCAACTTGTATAAAAGAGAAAGGGCATCATTGGAAGTTCCACCCCAGATATGGTAACAGTATTCCATACGAGAACAGATTTTAAAATTTATTGAAATAAAGAATAGAATCCGAAGTAAGAAAGTGTCGAGCACGATAAAGTGATGCAACCTAAGCAGATGCTAATTTTGCAATGGATTTAATATATGGTTTCCAAGAGAGACTGAAAGTAAGAGTTAATTCTAGAAGATGAAGGATAGATGACTCATCGAGTGCATTACCGTTCATAAATAAAGGAAGATCCAAATTATTGCAATAACGATTGGCTAAAAAAAATTGGGTTTTATCTGAATTAAAGTTCATCAGCCACTGTGAGCCCCATGCTGTAGCAGAAGTGAGATCCTTTTCAAGCTCAAATGTCCCATTCAAGCAATCAGAGAGCGTTAGCTTCTTGTCAAGACAAGAATAAATGGTAGTATCATTAGCGAACAATGCCACCTTAGATGTGAGAATATCTGGAAGATCGTTAATGTAACCTTGAAGAATCCCTGAAGTTACACCATATGAAGAAGAGTGCTGTCCATTGAGGACAATTTTTATACTACAATAGGTAAGAAGTTAAGCTTTTTAAATTACCTTAGAAGTGCAAAAGGTATCTAAGCTGAATATTTTTGTAATCTTTATGAATGGTTTGAAGAGTATGATAATTTAACTACAATTAAAACAACTTAATATAACAGTCAACAAATAATGCATGCTGTGACACAGCCTAGTCATAAATGAAACAAAAACATACACAGCATTGTCAACTTATCCACTTCAATGAAGTAGTTTGGAAATTAACTAAGTGTCACCAAATATTCAGCAGCCAAATATTTGGGGCTTCGGCGGAGGACTTAGCCGAATATTCGGTATTCTAAAAAATAACTATTTATGACATCTCTAATCAGAATGTCAACTATAGTTGAGTACTAAATCAAATATACTTAAGTAAAACTAAAAAAAATTGCACATACAAAAGATATTTTATGTAAACTTTACAGTGATTCTCGTTCATATATCTATTTATCTAATAAGAAGGACAAAATGGATACTTCAAAATTTATAACAATTTTTAAAATGATTTTCAGGGCATTAACATATATATACACACATATATTTGTATCATCATCATCATCATCATCATCATCATCATCATCATCATCATCATCATCATCATCATCATCATCATCATCATCATCATCATCATCATCATCATCATCATCATCATCATCATCATCATCATCATCATCATCATCATCATCATCATCATCATCATCATCATCATCATCATCATCATCATCATCATCATCACTTTAGCTTCCCTAATTTATGCTTTTTTTCTAATATAATCTCAAGCTACTTTTTTCCTTAACGGAAGCTTGTTCATACCATATGTAATGCACTCTTCGAGTTCTTTTACTTCTACCTCTACCTTTCTTCTACCTTTTACTCCTAAAGCTGCTACCTCTTTACATGCTGATACCCAAACCATCTGCATCCTCATTGTTCAATCTAATTTAGTGTTCACATTATATTGATTGTACTGGGTAAAGTATACTTCTGTGGGTTATACAGTTATTCAGGCCTTCTCAGAGACTCGTGTGGTCGCAGGCCTCGAATGACCATGCATATATTTTTTGTTGTTGATAATTTGGCCACAATTATTTTTACATATATTAAAAATGGTGCATTTTAAAAACATAATAATTTATTATTATAATTATTAATGAGAAAATAAAAAAGTAAAAATAATTTATCTATAATAATGAGAAAATAAAAACATAAAATATATATATATTTTTTTTTTTAATTTTTTTTATGTTCTTATTAAAATATATTCTGGTGTAATGCTGTTGTAATTAAAATATAGGAATACATAAACTCGATAACGGTTTGACGATACAATAGAAATCAGTTGTGGATAAAGTGGAAGGGGGTTACAGCCCCAGGTCGCATAATATTCGAGTCCCCAAAGTTTTTGAAAAAACTTTTTTTTTGAAGTCATCTTTACACTGTAGCACATTATTATTTACATTATTATATTATTATAGCACATTATTATATTATTATAGCACAAATATTAAGTTTTTACATTTAAAGTTTTAAATAATGATATTAGTTAAAACACCTTTTTATCTTAAATTTGTGTAACGTATGTTAAAACTACATACATTTACTAAAGTTCTTGTTTGTAACTCTAACTCTTAATAATAAATAAAAAAATTTCACAATAATAATCACTTGGTAACGTAAGTAAAATATACAGTATCAAAAAAAAAAAAGTTTATTTTCCTTAGCTGGTCAACTCTGATAAATTTTTATATATTTTTCAAATTGGTATAGAATTTTCAACATCAACATCAACATATATATATATATATATATATATATATATATATATATATATATATATATATATATATATATATATATATATATATATATATATATATATATATATATATATATATTATAGATTTAATATTTGTAATATTAAATCATTAATAAGAAAAATAAAAAAATATGAAAAATTAGTTTAATTTTTTCAGCATATTTTTAAAATGCGCCACTTTTAATGTATACAAAAAAATCGTGGCCAAGTTACCAACAACAAAAAAATATGCCTTGTCATTCAAGACGTGCGACTACATGCGTCTCCTGGAAAGGCCTGGTTATTCATGTTTTATATGATAGGATTTAAAATAAATAAATCTTACAAATTGCTGAAAACATGTTACTGCATTGATATAACAAAATAGTCAAAAATTTCTGGAAAGATTGGAACTATAAAGTTTTCCTTACTTAACCAGTAATAAAATGAAAGGGTTGAAGAAGTTCAGACACAATTTTTTGAAATAATTACAATCATAAACCCCTAAAATAATACTTATTTGTGAGTTTTAATTAACATAATAAAATGTTATAATAGTTATAGATTTTGTAGACCGTCTCAGGGAGCTGTTGCAGTTAAGAAATATATTTTAAAATATTTCAATTTAGGATACTGGTTGTTCCTTGGTTGAAACAAAATTTATTTTCAATAACATAAAAAAAATAAAAGTATAGTATGACTGTCTGTATTAATCAAATCATAAATATTTGATAGTTAAACCATTTTAGGTTTAAAAAGATTTATTCCTTAAGTGTTATAATTATGACAAGTCTCCCCTAGTAAAATCCTAATAAATATGTAAGGATATTTTATGTAAGCATATAAATAAATAGAAAACATGTTTATATCTATATATATCTATATTAAATACCAGAATTTAATAAATAGTAGATATATAATCAGAATAACATGATTAGCTTTAATACAATTGCCATTGCTTAAAAAACATACCTGTCAACACTAATGTTTGAGCGCAATGCACTTGTTATAAGCTTTAAGCAATGTTCTCTAACCTTTAAATAAAAAAAAAGCCAAAATAATATAATTGGGAGATTCAACTTTTTATAGCACACACCCACATCCACATACACACTGATATATATACATAAACATAAATATATATATATATATATACATATATATATATATATATATATATATATATATATATATATATATATATATATATATATATATATATATATATATATATATATATATATATATATATATATATATATATATATATATATATATATATATATACTCTCACTTGGTTTGACAAAACGACATGGCAGGAAAAAAAAAGTTAAAAAAAGGAAGGATTGCAAGTCTTTCCTCTTTCCAAACTTGTATTTAGTTTTATGTCCTTATTTATAAATAACACTTGTCAAGCCATGTGAATGTATATTTTCTCTCTCTCTCTCTCTCTCTCTATATATATATATATATATATATATAGAGAGAGAGAGATGCCATGTCGTTTTGTCAAACCAAGTGAGAGTTAATAACTCACACTTATAGATAATTTGGGTATTTTCTTATTGTAAGGTTCAATTAGCTTTGTATTTATGGACGGTCTCTCATCAGTATCAGAAGTTTTGTATGTCTAAAAAATTATTTAAAAAAATATATTATATTTATATTTAAAAAAAATGTACTTTATATAGAAGAGTAAAAACATAAATTTACTTTTCTTTTTTCAAACTCTTTTTTAATTAAAGAACTTAAATCAGAATCTTTAGAAGTGTCTTCACCATCTGAAGTAATTTCTCCATCATCATATCTGTTGAAAAAAGAAAGAAAAATAACTTTAAGCCTTTAAAATTCATCTGTTTCAAATTTTCTTAAAAATATATTTCCTGGAAAAAAACTTCTACATCCATATTATCTGGGAATAAGCACCGGCTGGGAATCTGGGAATAAGCACCGGCGAATAGTGTTTTTATTAAACAAATAGCCTATAGTATTTTGTTAAACTTTGGTCACAAAGTTTAACAAAATACTATTGGCTATTGAATATATTGAATATTCGCTATTTGACTTTGTTTCTCCTGTATCTATCTGTTTTTAAAAAATAATAAATATAACAATTTTTCTACAACTGTTTATAAAAACTGTTAGGGTTGGTTTTATCAAATACATCAAGTAGTGGTTTGGGGAATCATTTTTCCTAAAGAGGTTACCTGTTCTTTTCTCATTTTGTGCTTATATTTAATTAATGTATCAATGCAATTTGGTATATATGAAATAAAATATTCAGCAATATTTTGGTACCTTTCCCCCTTTACCCATGGAGATTTACAGCTTTTAAATATTTTTGCACATTTTTTAACTTGGTTTTATGTAGATTTTATCAACTTGGTTTTATGCAGATTTTTTAATTTTGGTTTTATGTAGATTTTTGAATATTTTGTATTACAGACCTTAATAAGAGTATATGAGAAAAAAACTATGGATATTATTAGTAAACAACATATTTTGGACAATGTTGAACATGTAAATAAAGTAGAAAGTATATACTTTAAATTTGGTTAATTTTTATTAAAACTTAAAAGTATTTTAAAATATCTTTTAAGTTAAATTTACAATTATTTTTCATTTTAAAACTATTTTTCAGCAAAGAATAAAATGATAAAACAAAAATAAAGACTTAACATAAGTAAATACAATTTGCCACATGTCCTATAGCTTTCAAAAACTCACATAATTAGGCAAAAGCTAATTGAAGTTCACTCTGACTAAATATACTCAGTTAGTAAACTCAGTTACTAAATATACTCAATATAATCAGGGCAGGTATAAAGCACCTATTTGAGTTAATTGTTTTGTAAAAGGCATTTCAGGCAAAGACTATAGAAAAAGGTAGAAAAATTCTTTTGATCAGCTTTACAAACCTTTTTTATGTAATTGGATGGCAAAGATGTAAACCAACACTGTTCCCTGCTAAAGTGAATCTTGGGTTATTGCATGTGCCACTTTGGTTAAGGTTATACAACTATTTGTTATTTCGTAATTAGGAATACAATTCTAAAACTCAGTTAAATAGTTCCGAGGGGTAAATGCAGTTTCCTGAATTCTGTGGTAGCTATCGAAGAAACTGATAAATAAGATAACGGCGTCATGCTGCACACTAAAAGCAGTAACAAGTGTTATTGGGCTTCTTATCCAGATTGATAGCTTTGTAACTTGTTTTGTAGACAACTCAAATCTTCACTACTAGATTTGTGTCTTATTTCTGACCCTAGTTAGTTCTCGCTTAGGTGGTTTCGATCTATGATTTCACTGAAAATTTTATCTTATACTACTTCTACATCAGATTACAATTGCAATTCTTGCCACTTTAAGGCTTATTGATTCTTTTCGTGATTTTTTAAAATGATGATCATGGGCTGACAACTTTTATCCTTCCATGTTTACCTGAATCCTCCTGGATTTAGGTAAACATGATAGGTTTAATTCCATAATAAAAAACAATATCTTATTGTTGATTTTATGTTATGCCTCATTCTACACTATGACTGTTTATTTCTCGTGCACCAGCTGTTTCTAATTGTAACTATTTATTGCATTTATTTTAATCATTTGTTTCGTGGTTAAACACCTTTTAACTACTGCATGAAATTGATGCAAAAATGTATTGCTAGATGCTGATGTTAATTAGTTTCAGATTACTTATTTTTGTATGATGTTCATTAGTTTCAGATTACTTATTTTTGTACAAAAATAAGTAATCTGAAACTAATGAACATCAGCATCTAGCAATACATTTTTGCATCAATTATGTAAAATACGAGATATTTGCCTAGAAAATAGGAATAAGCCTAGCAATGCAACAACTTTGGTGTGGTCATTAATACTTTGGGTTGAAGAATGGGAGAGACAAAATCATCAATAACATGAGCAATTAAGTCACCAATAACAAAAATAGTCAGATAGAAAAAAACATTTTCATTTTCAAGTCAAATTTAAAAGCAACATGGACAAGAGTACAGCCTAAGGAAGGAGAAAAAATGGAGAACAAAGAAAAAAAATGATTAAAATTGTGCTAAAAACACATTAAAAAATATAAACAATTTTACAACAAATAAGTGAATTGATACATAAATATATTCCCAGGCTAACTATGGATGATTATTGGCGTCTTAGAAAATCAAAGGGTAATAGCCATAAATACTGAAATTGAGAGATGGAACAACAAAATTTTTATTAAATGTTTTCGCTTACCTAAATCCATACGGTTTTTGAACAAAAAAAAAAAAAAAGATGAAAAGAAATCCCTTGCATGTTACCTATACTAAGACACATATGTACTGAAGGCCTCAAAGCTTCCATAATCAGTATGGTCGTGATAATCAGTATGGTCCGATTACTGATCTAGATGAGCTTTTACATATGTGTGTGTGCATTTATCTTATTCCTGATTCTATTCTCTACCACTACAAATTACTCATTCTTCCCTGTATAAAATACTGTTATTATATTCAGGCAAGTTTTTCTAATGATGCTCTTTCTCTTCTAGATAAAATCAGTTTTAAAAATGTAGTCGGACCTTCCTTATATGCCAAGCCTGAGCCATTCTCTAAATGCCTTCAGGTTGCATCACTTTCTCTTTTCTAAAAATACTACTACAGTCACTACTCAAAGGAGCTATCACTTTTAGTTTCATAAACTAAAATTCTTAGTTGACTTGTTATTTAGCAAAGTTCCTGAATGGCATGTCAAGTAAAAAAAAAATTGAATGAAATTTAATTTTACAACTAAAAACAATAAGTTCATTTAATCAATCAATCAATCATTTATTTCTGAAATAAGGTTTTACATTCAAGGATGTTTACAAATAGTAAATATACTAATATAAAATAAACACCTACTAATGTTAATAATATCTAATTAAAATAAATATAATGCTAATTTTCACAATATATAATAATGATAATAAACTTTATAACATAAAATAACGATGTAATATAAATAACGATGTTATAACAATAAAAATAATAACAATAATAATAGTAATAACAATAATAACAACAATATTAGTATTAGTAATAATAAAAGTTAAAAGTAGTTATCAATAGTAAATATTAATAAAAATAACAAAATAACAATAATCAATAAAAAATATAGAACAGAAATTGTAAAAAAAAATAAATATATATATATATATATATATATATATATATATATTAAGACAACAAAAATTGATTATAGAAATTATAAACATTAACTATATTTTTTTAATAAAAAGTAGAATAAACTGGTTTTAAAAGTTAAGAATGAATTGAGAGCTTTTAGTTCATAAGGAAGGTTGTTCCAAGTTTTTGTGCTTTGATATTTTATGGATTTATGCCCGTAAGTATGAGAGCGGTGTTTAGAGACAGACAGGTTTAAATAACTATCAGAAAAAAGAAGATTGGAAAAGAAATTAATGAAAGTTAAAGGTAGGTTATTGTGTTGGTGGTTCCAGACAAATTGACAGTTTAAAAGTTGAATATAGTCACATAGTTTTAATACTTTAGAAGTTAGGTAGAGCACATTAGGATTAAATTTAGAGGGTATAAGTAATTAAACACACTAAAATTTTTATTATATTATTAAATTATTTTCAAAAAAAATGTCAAAAAATAACTTTGAAGTCTATACTTATTTATTTGTTTATTTTTTTAAACATCTTTGCTTACAACAAGGCTACAAGTAACCACTAATTAGAGTTATAAGTTACTGAAGAGAAAAGATGAAGATTGTAGAGCAAGATAACCATTAACAGGCGACTTAAAGGATTGCAAATTATATAAATCAGGAAAGCAAGATGAAGGAATTCAAAAGAACTTATGTTTGAGGGAAAAACCTAGAGGAATAAGAGTATTTGGAGCACTTAAGATCAGTCACAGAAAAAGGATGAGACTTAATTGAATGACGAGTAACAAATGATAAAATTTAAGTAGATGGCAAAAGAGACGCTAGCTCTTTAGAGCAGTGCCCATTATAGCATTTATAGAAAAAAGAAAGAGAAGCATGATGATAATGTGATAATGGTTGGAAGCATAACGATAATGTGATAATGGTTGGAGGTTGGCTGCAAGAGCAGATCCAACTATTTTTTCAATGTATTTTTGCACTTTGTCTGAAAGAGAAAGGGCATCATTAGAAGATCCACCCCAGATATGGCAACAGTATTCTATATAAGGCCGGATTTGAAATGTATAGAGATAGAGAATAGAATCCGGATTAGGAAAGTGTCAAGCTCGATAAAGAGATGCAACCTTAGCAGATGCTAATTTTGCAACAGATTTGATATATGGCTTCCAAGAAAGATCGGAAGAGTTAATCCTAAAAAGTTAGATGACACATTGAGTACATTACCCTTCATAAATATAGAAAGATCTAAATTATTGCGATAAGAATTAACTGAAAAAAATTGAATTTTATCTGAATTAAAGTTCATCAGTCACTGTGAGTCCCATGATGTAGCACAAGTAAGATCCTTTTCAAGCTCAAATGCCTCTTCCAAGCAATCAGAGAGTGTTGGCTTCTTATCACGACAAGAATAAATGGTAGTATCATCAGCGAACAATGCCAACAGGATTGGCTCTGTACTCTTTTTAATTTACATTAAATTTACAAGCAATCAGAGAAAGTTGGCTTCTTATCACGACAAGAATAAATGGTAGTATCATCAGCGAACAATGCCAAGGATTGGCTCTGTACTCTTTTTAATTTACATTAAAAAGAGTACAGAGCCAAGGATTGAACCTTAAGGAACCCCTGAAGTTACAGAATAAA